AAGATTAAAAAAAAAAAAAAAGATAAGTGCTAGTGGGGATGTGGTGAAAGGGGAACACTCCTACATTGTTGGTGGGAATGTAAATTGGTTCAGCCACTGTGGAGAACAACGTGGAGGTTCCTCAAAGACCTTCAAATAGAACTACCATATGATCCAGCAATTCCACTCCTGAGTATATACACAAAGGACAGGTGAACGCTCAGTTGGAAAAGCGCTTGCACAACTATATTTATTGCGGCACTATTCATGATTGCTAAGACATAGAGCCAACCCAAATGTCCACAAACAGATGAATGGATTGAAAAAATGTGGCACATATACTCCATGGAATATTATTCAGCCAAAAAAAAAAAAAAAAACAAGGCCCTGGAATTTGATAGAAAGTGAACAAATGTGAAAGATTTGTTGTTCAGTGAAAGTCAGACTATGAAAGAGAGACATTGTATGTCTACACTTAACATATACCAACCATCCACATTCTATTGGTAGAGACCGAAAGACTGGAGTACATAAAAGCATTAAAAAAATTTTTTTTTGGAGAGATGCTATAGGGTTCGTGCGCTCGCCAGACAGACAGAGAGAAACATAGAGACAGAAAGTGAGGAATCACCTCCCAGGGGGGATGGTCATGCCACAATCCCTTCTCCTCCATTCTCCTCTCGGGATCTTGGGCATGCATGCACATGCTCCTGGCGTGAGTTTTAAGCCACCAGGTCCGGGACGCGAACCGCGGTCGATTACGTGGTTAGCCATTACGCTAACTGCTGGTTCCCAAAGCATTAAAAATTGTTATGGACACTAGAGAAAAAGTGGAAGGAGAGTGTGGGAGGGGAAGAGTGCAGGAAAGGAAATTAGGGGGAAAGTAAGGAGTGATAAGATATTTGTGGGAATCAGATATGGTTTGCTATCTGTTGGTGAGGATGTGTGTAGTATTCTCAACTGGGCTGCGATGTGTACCATGCTGAGTAAAATCTCTTTACAATATAAATGATGTCTAGCGATTGAATGTATAAGTAGAACAGAAAAAAACACAGGAGAGAGGAGGACAATGATGACTGCCCGGTAAGAAAGAAAAGACTAACTGAAGCGTATCTCTGTGCTGGCCCTAAGGAGGGGATTCTTTGTGCACACCGGGATGTAGAAGGTCATGGAGTGAGTCCATGCCCTGGTGGCCTGTCTGTACCTGGCATGTTAGATGTTACCAGTGAAGAAATAGATCATCAAACAGCTGAGGAACCACAGTGGGAAGTTACCAGAAGAAGGCGTCAGGAGATTGAACACGGGATAATTGATGGAGATGAAGCAGCTGAAGCTGACAGACACATTAACCTTCTCCACAGTCTTGTCCTTCCCAATACCATGAAGACAAGTTTGAAGAGGGAACTTGATGACGTTTTTACAAAGAAAATGGTTGAGTCTAGAGCTGTCCTTCCACGGAACTTGTGGTCTAGAAACCTCTGCCCGAACTTTCTGATAAGCCAAAGCTGCCATCTAATGCTGAGAACCGCCCAGGAGAGAGCCGGACCAAGCACATAGCTGCTGGCACTGCCTTCGCTCGGAGATCTGAACTGCTCTGGGATCCTCAGCAGGCAGGGCTGCCTCTTTATAATAACCTGGAGACAGCTGCTAACACAGAGTGGGAACTCTGGGAACCAGTTTCTATGCGAACGTCAAATTTTAGAAGGTTTCTACATTCAGTCTTGAGCCTACTGGCATCGTCCAGGGACCTGAAAATTTAATGAAATGTCTCTACCTGCGATTTGGGGTGGGACTCTCATTTTGGGTAGCTATTTATTGAATTCAGCTTTTTGCCAAGGAAGCCTGTCTCAAGGGAAAAACAGTTTTCTAGGGGGCTTCTTAAATATTTCTTAGATTAAAGTATTTTCAGAGGCGAATGTAGAAGCTATGTGTGTAAGGTTGGCTTAAATCATATG